AGATTCTCTAGACTCCCAAACGTAATTATGTCACAGAAAATTCAGCTTCTTTCTGATTCTACATATAAGCATCTATTTTGTTTCCGTTTTCTTTAAAACTTTCCCTGTTGCTCAACCTGTTCAGTCAACATTATTCTTAATATTCTTCTCTTGAACCACATCTTTACTGCTTTCTTCTTTATCTGTGAGGAAATTGTCCAGCATTTACTGGCATGTAGCGGGATTGATATTATATAGCATTCCAACTCTCTTTTCTTTGTTTCTAACAAAATTTTCCTGTTTCTTAATACTTATTTAGCTTTTGGAAGGCATCTTTCACTATATCAGTTGTCCTTAATTTTAGTGCCATTTTTTAATTTGTTATATTATAACTGAAATATTTTTGCCTTTGACCAACTCACTTCCCAAAATAAGTATTCTGATGTTTAGTCATTGAATGATACAAACTTGATTGTAATCAATACAATGATTGATAACCATGTTCTGGTGTGACCCAAAGGTTAATGGTATAGAGGATTGTAATGGCTGAGACTGTTTGCATTCAATTTACACTATTGCTATGTATACCTTTCTCACCACAACTAGTAGGCACTTGGAACTCTTTTGCACTGTAAAACAGCCTGTCATGGGGGATGGGCTAGCAAATTGGCTCAGTGAAAATTCATTTGCTTCTCAAACAGTGGCATCATCATTGAGGATATGGTTGTGTTTATATAATCTGCAAGAGTGCCACCACTACCTCTACATCTACTGCTACCACTACTATTGCCACTATCATCACTATCACCACTTCTGCTGCTACCACCACCGTCACTACTACTACTACTGCCGCCACCACCACCACTCAACCACTGTCACTACTACTACTTTCGCTACCACCACCATCACTACTATTGCCACTATCACCACCATCACTGTGACTACTACTGCCATAATCACCAGCACCACCACCACCACTACCACTACTATAGTAGTAATAAAAATGATTCATTGAGAAATAAGAGTGAGACAAGCTGTCAAATAATGTTGTCCTAATTCACTATTAAAAGCTGAGATATTAAATTTTTTAATTTTTCAGTGTGATCTTTTTTGTAATTATTTTAATGAATGCCATAAATTTCTCTTTGCAATTTAAAGTTTTAACAAATATCAGCTTTCAAAGGGTTTCTTTACATTTAACATGAAATTCCAATGCAAAATACTAAAATGATTATTTCTAAGTTATTGCTTTTATGAGACATTAATTTCACTCTTAAGTTTGAATTCTAGGAAGTTGATGTGATTCAACTAATTCAAAATTTCATATTCAATTATTCTTCATGACTAAATTTTTTAATTTTTATGTAAAGGAAATTTCTTGATGGCTGCTCTGTAAATATACAAAAGAAGTCTCATCCAACTTTCCACTGACTGGCCAGTGAAACCCCGATATTCTCATTAATGTAGGTATTCACCAAAAACTGGGAAGGATGTACTGCATGTTCACAAATTGTTGTAAAATGGAAAAAAATGACACGTTGAGAAAAGAACAACTTAAACTCTGTTACCAATATATTTAGATGTTATATTCAGGGCCTGCTTGCTCAGTCTGGGTTGCACCTGGGGACGACATCTACCACCTCAGTCTAACATCTCAGCTCTTCCCTCCTACCAACCCATTGCTCATCTACGAATTACAAATATAGATGACAGTATGAAGGGGTGGCATTGGAAACTACCTGAGAGACAGTCTGCCCCCTGCCAAGGATAGACCAGAACTGATTTCCGTGATTATAGATATAGACCAACAATCAGAAATCATTAATGTCTAGTTTGTTGTTACTTGGCCTCAAATGTTTTTTCTTTTTGGTCAAGTGGGTGAAGACCTGACTTCAAAAACACTATCCATCAGCCATAAAACGCCTGTGATCGAAATAAGATCACACCTTCCTCTTCGATATGAGTATACTAATCATAGTGTCACAGTTCAAGTTAAATTTGTCACATTTTCTTGTTTCCAACTGTATTCTCTAGTTCCATCTTCTGCAACCCATGCCTGGGGATAATTATCATCTCTCAGTTGCATCTCTGTCTTCAGACAGAGTGTGGCTCTGTCTATATAGCTGGGGTAAAATAAAATACTGTGAGGTGTCTGATCCTGGGGAAAAGCTGCCCAAGGCTGTATCCCCACCCCCCCAATTGCACTAGAGAAGGGTGATTGGTAGTCATACTGATCCCAGTGCAGCTGACAGTTGCAAAAGCTGGGCAATTTTTGTCCCTGGCCTGAGTATATGTGCTTGCTTTCCTCACATTAAACACGGCCTTGTGTCACCCTTATTGCCCATTTTTAAATGGAAGGAGAATGTCCCACTCAGCTTTTGCCAAGATCTGCTACTTTATGGAACACTCCTGCCTGGATGCATCTCTGAATCTTAATCTTTTTAAGTTGGATGGGGTGGAGGGGTATCATCTTAATATTCAATTCTTACTACCACTTCTTTCTTCAATCATATCAAACATATTTATCATTACCATTTAACTTGAGAAAATCTTATATTGGATCAATTTTTTTAATATTAACACCAAAAATAAGTTACACCAAATCATTTTACTGGATGTTTTCAATAAATTGCACTCATTTCTATAGAATTAAAATTATACTTTGAAGGGTCCAAATTAATTCAAATATATTTCTCCAAAAAATATCCAACATCTCTCTGTGGAATATGGCTTACTACAAATTTTATATATCAACATTTCCATGTATAAGATGGCCTTTAAATCCCAAAAATCACCCTTAAGAATTAGGGGTTGAAACCTTAAAAAAAGAAACCTTAAATTCTGAGTGATGTTTGTCAGTAAGCTAACCTCAGCCTCAGTGCAATAACCAGTAATGTACAGGAAAGATTAACATTATCAAATAAATATCGTCTTCCATAATTTACCTTGATTTTCAGTTTGATGACTATGAGCATTTCGTAAATTTAAAAATTTTGTAAAAGTAACAATATTCTTTCTTTTGTTTATAAATCCTTGTTGCAAAATAAAATTCTTACATTTGCCTTAATAAAGTCGATTAGAAGATGAAATATGTTGGCTAAGATAGGTTTTCCTTTTGTCTTTTTTATTCATATAATCCTTTCATATTTTTAGTTATATCTAAATTTTTATTGATCTTAACTGTAAATCGAAAAGTTATTATTTTTCTTACTGATGAATAAATTAGTTAAAAAAAAAAAAATTCTAAACTGAGCAGAAGATTAAAATGGTGGCTATGAACTTCTTTGTCATGTGGGTGGGAGCTGATAGATGCATTTGAAATTTGAAACGTGGAAAGGCCCAGACTGAGCATTAGACGAGATGGGCGTGTGCATGCACACAATCCTGAAAAAAAAATTGGAGGAAACTCTGGGTGGCAAGATTTTTTTTCACTTTGTGGTTTGGAATTAAAACCAGAATTTATAGAGAAATAACTTAAAAACGAAAGAAAAGCAATCTTCACGGAGATTTTTTTTTTTTTTTTTTTTTTGTCATGGATGGCATCTGACTTTAGTATCTTAAGGAAAGCAAACAAAGTTGGGTCACTTTTTAATTGACTTTGTCTCTTTCTGAACTGGGATTGATCAGTGAGAAGATTTGTCATTTCTGAATTCAACAATTTCCATTCTTCTTGGAGACCTGTGCATTAAAAGAATTACTGGAGATAACGTAAATGTTCAGCATGCAAGTTCCAGAGCCGAAGCAAATCATTTACATATTAATAGTTCATCAAAGGCATAATGTTGTGTTGTACCAAATGCATTGACATTCCAATAATTGTTTGCTTGACATGACATTTTGAAAGGTAGTTAAAACAAGAACAGGAAAATAATCATCACCACCACAATTGCTCCATTATTATTTGTATTCCACTCACTAATATCTTTATCAACAACAACTTGAAATCACTACAACATTATGGTATCTATTCAGATGGAATTACTCTTTCAATTCAGTTATCATTAATGGTAATATTAACCATTTCTTTAAAAGAAAACATTCTGCATTCACTGACCGAGCAAGCCAATACCACTTGATTTAGGCTTTTCTTAGCTCCGTGGCTATTGGGCCAGGATCAAAGTGTAGTATCTGTTTTCATCTCTAACTGTAATCATAGCCATTTCCTTATAAAGAAACATTTGGCATTCATGTGACTGAGCAGCCAGTGCCACTTATGCTTTTCTTTATTTCCTACTCCTTGGACTGTGATCAAAGTGCAATATCTATTCTTCTCGCTAAAGTTAATATGAGTTATTTCCTTATAAGAAAACGTTTGGCAACTGATCACTGAAAGTGAACTTGCTTTTGGGACCCCATAAGATTTTTTTCTTAGGTATGTGTGTTAAGGGAGGAAATATATTCAAACTGACAGTCTTCTAAGCAACAGGTTCTATTACATAACTGCTTTTTTTTTTATTTATTTATTTATTTTTTTTTTTTTGTTGGTTCTTCCCAGAACTTTTGCCAGGAGCTTTTTTTTCCTTCTTCTGTGAAGACAAGTTCAGCAAAGATGAACCATTAATGCGTTTCTATACAAGGAAGAGCATTTAAGAAATAACTGCAAAACAAAGTCTTTTCCAGATGGTACTACAGTAGGAGTACAAATAGTAATAGAAACAGCACAGGCAGAGTAACACTAAGAAATCATAGGACAGTAAAAAAAAGAAGCATTCATAACAGCAGCAGTGTTAGAGCAAAAACTGTGAGGATGGTAATGTTATTTATTCTGATTCATTGATTCATTTTCCATGATTTATCAACTCTTTGCAGCTTATTTAAAGCCAGGAAATATTTATAGATTCTAATAATTTTTTTGAGACAATGATTTACTGATATATATCCTATTAATTAACTTGTAGCTGGAGAAATGAATTTGTACCTTTCCCAAGGTTATTTTCATGTAAGTAAATATAATGTATATGACTGGAATTGGAACTCAACTCTATGATTTTCAAATCCTTGCCATTATCCCTTACACCACTTACAGTATCCGGTGTTCCCAAGCAGCCTCCCATCTAGCTACTGATCAGGCTTAGTGTTGCTTAACTTCAGTGATCGGATGAGAACTGGTATCTGAACTTGATATGACCGTAAGCCCACTCACACATACAAGGTTACAGCAGCTGGTATTTCCAAGTGGTTACCCATTTAGATTCTGGCTAGGCTCAGTGTTGCTCAACTTTGGTGATTGTACAAGAACGGGTGTATCAAAGTGATATAACAGTAAGCCCACTTGCGCATACAAGCTTACAGCATAAGGTATTTCCAAGTTGTTACTCATTTAGGTATTGATCAGGCTTGTGTTTAACTTTGGTGATCATATGAGAACTGGTGTTTGAACGTGATATGGCTGTAAACCTATTTATTCTGATAGTAAATACAATAGAAAGATTATTAGCTGTACTAATAAAAATATAGTAGATATAAAAATAATGGTACATGGTCAAAGTTGTATGAAAGTCTCTTTACGTTTTCATATGTATATAGAAAGCTAGATGTTGCTTTATATAACCAGTGAGGTAACATTGGTTTACATATCATCCCTGTGAAATATTTCTTACCATTTGGTTGTCTCATATGCCATGTAAAGAAACCAAGAAACTTTGATAGTCCAAAAGCATTTACATGACCTTGTGGGTGATGAATTGTTTTCTACTTTACAGCCCCTTTCCCAAAGACATTGCTAGCCGCATGCTATTCTAACACTATTTCTATGGAAAATATCCAAACTGGCTACATTCCTTACTTCTCCCAACTAAGACCTGCCACACTATGTACATTGAAGTGAACCACCCTCATTCCATTCGTATTTCTTTAGTAAGGAGTAAGTTCTAGTTGGATAGCTTCTGCCTAAGCCTTCTTTTGAAGAGAGCAGGCCAGAAAGCTCTGCAGTGTCTCTGATGAGGGCCATGATACGAGGGCTGAGTAGACTACAATAAATTATCTTGACCTCAGACCATTCTGTCTAAAAGCCTGCCTTAGTCAGGAGGTTTAAAGAAAAAATAAAATTAATGTTATTTGAGCAAGGTTCCTTATTTTACTGCAAGAATAACAAGATAACAACTAACACAGTCAACAAAAATGCATATTCCTTACTACAAAGGAAATATAGTTAGAAATGGCAAATTATTTAATGAGACACTTGTTTCTGCTTATTGTTCAATAACTTCAAAATATTTGATGACAGGAGAAAGTCATCCAGGTGGTCATCACCTAACCTTTTACTTAAATGTCATTTAGTAATTTTATTTTCAAAAAAAGTTGTTCACAAGCATACATACTTCCAAATAAAGCTGCCATCATTTTCACATTATTCAATAGACTTTTCTATTTTCCATTTGGCAAAACATATTTCTTGTAGAAGTCAGCAGTGGATTTGAAATGAAATTTTTATGTAAAAAATCATCGCACTGTAAATCGATTAACTCCAACTGATATTTTTTTGCCACTTGCTCTGCAAATTGATTAGATAATTAGTATCCAGGTGTTGAGTTGGCAGGCCAGATGAAAATCTTTTGCAAGCTCAGATGTGGCCCACCCCCTGGCCTAAGCACTGTTGCTTTGTGTAAACAGAATCCCAGGAGGGTGATTTTCTGACTGCTACAATCTTAACCTCTTAAAGTCTACAGTCACCTGTTGTTTTTCACACATCTGCATAAACTGAACCCCTTTCTCTTAGCACTCTCACAACTGCCTTCAGTAACCTTCTACCTTGAGAAACTCTTGGGTCTTGTATAAGGTGAACATTAGTAAAAATAAATGCAGGTTACTTGCTTTTAAAACTGATATAAATTAGATTCTTGAGATGCCTTTTCAAACTTATTGGGCCTTTATCACTCCATCTTTTGTGACATTCTTTGTCTCAAGATCAGTGATGTTCATAAAAAAAATATATTTTCTATTTGGCTGCTTCGAGGCCAACTGGAAAACATGAAGAAAGGGGACTTGGAGAATTTGATACTCACAAGCAAGACAAACAGAAGGAAACAAAGTAACCTACCTAATGAGCTTGTATAAATGGATGGTAGAACAGATTGTGGGAGGGATGGTGAAAAGAGCTTTTATTAAGAACTACAAAGAATAGGAAGTTGTGGAGAGTCATGATTGCATGCATCCTGAATAGATGTGAAAAGAAACCAGTATGTAGAATATATATAGGAATAAATTTTCACAGAAATTCTTCTTTTATCTTCTGTGACTCTTCATGACGTAGGCAATTATGGCTCTCCACAATTTCTGGTCTTTTATAGTCCTTAAATTTTGTCTTTTCTCATAAAGTGTGTTCCACCATTTACTGACTAAGTATGTTATGCATTGTTTTCTTCTATTCCTCTTCACTTCAATCTGTCCTGTTAGTATCATATTTTCCAAGTCCTCTTTCCTCATTATGTGCTCTAGAAATTTCAACTGTCTCTTTCTGATGTTAAGTATAAGTTACATCTTTGTTTCCATTTTCTCTAAAACTTTGTCATTGCTCACATGTTTAGTCCATGGTATCCTCAGCATCTTTCTGCAGAACTACATTTCTGTTGTTCGAACTCCTTCTTCATCTTTGAGGAGATTGTCCAACATTCACTGCCATATAGGAAGCCTGATATCATGTAACAGTTCAGTACTTTCTAACAAAATTTTTCTGTTTCTTAATACTCAGCTTAGCTTTTGCAATACATCTTTGGCTATCCTAATGCATCTTCGGATTTCAGTGTCACACTTTCCATGTTCTGTTAAAACACTTCAGATATTTAGATTTTTGAACTTGTTTGATTTTGGTATCTCCAATTTGTAATTTGTATGTTGGGTTCTCCCTTTTGCTAACAGTCAAACATTCTGTCTTCTTGCAGTTGATGCTTAGTCCTTTCTTCTCGCTTTCCTTCACTACCTTTAGAATATTTTGTAGTTTTCTTTCTGTGTCTGCTATCAACGTTGTGTCATCTGCATTATCTTAGGGTTAAAATCACTAAAGTCAGCCTAAATCATTCTTACCAAGAAAAGAATTTAGTTGGAGCAAGAGTGGGGGTAATTGTACAAGAAAAAAATGATTTTACACAATGTACATATTAAATTGTAGTTGTGGAGAGTCACATCCTTAAAGGACATGGCACATAGTATTAAAAAAAAAAAGCAGCTATGTATATATATATATATATATATATATATATATATATTTTTCTATATATTTTGTCTTTTTGCTGTAATAAAGCAAACATATATAAAATAAGTGAATCGTACATCAATTTGAACATCCAACCTAAAGGTAACCATCTAACTGATATATCTGCTATGCTAGCATTCTTCTGTTTGAGCAGCATGCAACAACAACAACTTATAAGTATTTAGAATGCACAGTTACTACATTGATCCTAAGCAGAAGGCTGGAGAATGACTCAAACCAGGGCAGAGATACTTCTTTTACATGCCATGTCCCTTCAGAATCAGCTAATCATGGCTCTCCACATCTTCCTGTCCTTTGTAGCATTTAATAAATTTTGTCTTTTGGTTATTTCTCCTAAACCTTGTTCTGCCACCCATTCTTCTTCTATATGCCATGTCCCTTCAGGATGTTGGCAATGACTCTCCACATTTTCATGTCTCTTGTAGCTCTTAATAAATTTTCTCTTTTTGTTACTTCTCCTAAACTTTATTCTACCATCCATTTACTCAAGCTAAGTAGATTATACATTCATTTTCTCTGTCCTTCCTGCCTTCACTTTGTCTTGTGAGTATCAAATTTTCCAAGCTCTCTTTCCTCATTATGTGCTTTAGAAATTTCAGCTGTTTCTTCCTGATATTAAATACAAGTTTCTATCTTCTCTAAAACCCTGTTGTTGCTCACATGTTTGATACCAATCATAACATTATGCTGTTCTATATATAATCACATTTTTATAGGCAACTTGTAGATTGAACTATTATGTAATATTGGTCCTCCTATATGGCAATGGATGCTGGATAATCTCGGCTAAAGAAGAGACTTGAAGCAACAGAAATGTGATTCTACAGAAGGATGCTGAGAATATCATGGGCTGAACATATGAACAATGATGAACTTATAGAGAAATTGAAAACAAAAAAAAATCAGAAAGAGTTGAAATTTCTGGGACACGTAATGAGGAAAGCGGGCATGGGAAATTTGGTACTCACAAGACAGATTGAAAGCAAGATGGACCAAGGAAAACAATGCATAACCTACTTAGTGAAGTTGAGTAAGTGGATGGTGGTGAAAAGTTTAGGAGAGATAACGACAAAACTTATTAAGAGCTACAAAGAACAGGAAATTGTGGAGATCCATGATTGTCAACATCTTGAAAGGACACAGAATAGAAGAAGAAAGATTTAAGAAAATAGACAAACTTGTGCAAGTAATAGTCTTTGTATTGTTAGCCACTTCCCTGTCAATTATTTTTGGAAAGACGTTTAATTTTCAGGCAAATATTTTTGTTTCAATATAGTAGCTAAGAAACTGAGGTACCTTGAAGTACTCGAGTGGTAGCTAACACCTCTACCAGACGTATGAATTGACAGTTTAATTCATTTCAAGCTTGGAAGGGCAAAAAAAAAAAAAAAAAAAGAATCAAGATTGACATATAAACACATCTGTAGCTGGTTTTTGAACATTGTTTTGGATGTGTTTGCCTGTGGTTGAAAAAGACACTTTCAGTAAAAATGTATATACACATCTATACTTGGGAAGAGGTTAATAAATTAATATCAAACTTGATGAAAATTAACATAAGCTAGGATTATAGGCTTTACATTTTATCTTAAAAAATCATTACATTCTTTAGAATTAGATCTCATTGTTTTTCTTTGGTATAATTATCAGTTATGGTTTTGATGTCTTAAAAAGAAAATATTATTTTTTATTTATTTTCTTTCTTATATATATTAGAATTTATTTAATTCTGAGTGGAACCTTAGATATTAACATTTTTTTTTTTTTTTTTACCTTTAAGAGTCTACCTTGAGTACTAAAGAACCACTGCTTTAAAAAATAACCATTTAATTTTATTTTATATTCCCACTTACATAAGTACTGATTGGATGGTCATTTGAGAATATTGATAAAAAATCTTCCTACTTCAGCTGATCTTAGA